AAAAAAAAAAGGATAGTCGATTGAAACGTAAGACTTCTTGGCGACGGTTAACAAAACCAAAAACATTTACATATATTTTTATTAGTATCACAGCGGGCGCCCAAATATTTTGTAAGCGAAGAAAACATCAAAGACCTTTTACCACATCTGTGTGAGACTTAAAGCTTACAAAAATTGCTACCGTTTACGCTTAAATACAGCTTTCTTTGAAAGCTAATAATGAAGAAACTTGCCCCAATTATGATTTTTCGGCTGGTTGCAGTCGTTACAAATATACCGCCTACAGGTATGCAACGTTATACACTTTAGCTGCTTGTTACTCATTTCATTCGTGTGCATATCAGTAGGTATGGTATGTAGTTCTCAAACAGCGTACTTGTAATATAATTTATCTAAAAGTGCAAGTTGCCGTTGGATCGTTCCCTTCTTAAAGTGAGCAAGTAATTCACTTTCACTTTTTGGTATTCTTTGCGTTGTTTCCATTGAACGCAACCAAATTTTTTTAACACCTTAAAAGAACAAATATTCGGTTGACGATTGTTATTTCATTAATTTTATTATCATTAAGATTAACATAAATTATACACAGAAGTGCGTTTTCACAGTGAATTCGAAAATTATAATAAACAGCCTTCGACTATCACAAATTGTTTTTTTTTTAAACTATAAGTATTTCGTAAATTTCATTTACTCAGGGTAATCAGGGCATTCGCCAAACGCCCGTATATTTTTGTTTTCTTCATATTCGACAGGAAAATTTTGTATTAAATGTCGCTTTTCCTCTTCGGCGTTTTCAAATCGATTACTGCAACGACGGCACTCGTCTACAAAGAACTTTGCTAAATATTCTCTCACTTTAATACAATGCTCGGGGCAGTCCGATTCGGAATGAAATTGTGTCCCGAAAAAGGGGTACCTAGTAAGGCATAAATATTGAAGTTTAAAATATTTGAAAATTATTCACAAAGTAGAACTTACAACATATTCATAAACTCTATATAGCCACTTACTTGCGGTGTTCCACAATCGAAGCGAATTCTGTGCCATTGTCATCTGAGTTTTGCGCCAATACATGCCAGTCATCTGCGAAACTTTTACATAACTTTTTTTTTTTTTT